TCCCAAAATTTGCGGACTAACGACTCGAGCGGTTCGACAGCCATACCACAATAAGAGGCTGCCGAAATACTATCTAGGATGGGGGCGGAGCCAAGGATCACATAGCCCAATACGGTTTCCAGTGCGTAAGGCGCGGTATGCGAGGAGTTGCCCCTGACCTTATTGTTTAACAAAAGATGAGGGAAAAGCGATGCCCCAATGAGCATGTCTATGTTTCCAGGAACGGCGTAAGTGTCGTCTGCTAGAGTCAAATTTTTAAACTCAATCATTGCCGAGGTGTCAACCAAAACGGTTGGCAACCGTTCAGTGACCCTATCTACTACTAGTGCATTTATATCAAAGTTAACGTTACGATCTATCCGAGAATAAAATTTTAAATTTATATATCCCTGTGTCGCTTTACTAGTACCTCCGATGCCTTTAACTACAGGACATGAAAGTGACCTATTTATTACTAAGCCTAAGCGCTGACAACATTGTCGTGTTATAAAGCTATTTTGGGCTCCGCTGTCCAGCAGTGCACGGACGCTTTGTTTGTTTCCACGCGAATCCCTAACCAAAATACGCGCCGTACCCAGTAACACGGTTGAAGGAGGTTGTGCTCCCATATTTGCCAATGAGCACAGAGCGACATCATCAGGTCGACCGCTAGAATCGTTGACCTTAGTAGGGGTGAATTCCTTATTCGCCTTACTTGACGCCGCTATGTTGCTATTTTCAAAATGTAATAGCGTGTGATGTTTCCTGGCGCACTTGCTACATACGGAACTCGAATTGCATTTTGCAACTAAATGCTTATCGCTTAAGCAGTTCAAACATAGGTTGTTTGTCTTTACTAACTTATAACGTTCGCTTGGTGAATATTTACGAAAAGTCGCACAGTTATATAAGTTACCGTGTTTATCTTTACATACTATACAAGTATGCTGGAGCGATGTCGGCGTAGCGGTTACGTAAGTTAACGACCCTGCTATTTTAGATGATTGAGTCTGTCTACGGTCGACGCACCTTTTAATCTCCTGTTTAACGTTCGGTGAGCGCTGCATCACCTTTATTTGATCTCGCACGAACGATGCTAATGAATGAAAGGAAGGCATCTCCGAGCTACGATGCTCCATTTCAAACGCACGCACGGTGTCGGAGTCTAGTTTCTTCAATGCTATATGGAGAAACACCACGTCCATGAGGTCATTAAACTTCAAATTCTTAAGTGCAGCCACCGATGCCACAAATTTATCGAGAAACTGCTCTAAGCCGTTGATGTTCGCGGATGATATAGGTTTAAGATCGAATATCTGGTTCAAATATTCGGAAGCTAACATTCTCCTATCTTCATATTTAGTTTTAAGCGTTTCAAATATTAATACGTAATTGTTTGCTGTAGGTGTAAAACCCGAGCAGATCGACTGTGCTCTGCCACTAAGTTTGCTAATTAAGTAATATAATTTTTCAGCGTCCGATAACGATGGGTTGTTGTGTATATTGTTTTGAAAACTACTGAAGAAGAAGGGCCACGTCTTAATATCACCATTGAATACCGGAATATCTATTGGCGGTAACCTAATTGAGTCACGAGGGCGTACCTGCATTTCAGGCTTCGCTTCACCTTGAGATTGTAGCAATTTTGCGGTTCTCTTCACGCGACACAACATATCTTCGAATGCCAGCAGCGGTTGGTAGTTCACTATGTATTTCGGGTCGGTTTGTAGTTCCGAATGATTAATTTGGTCTAATATTCTTTCGTAATCTGTCCGCAAATTATCAATCGTTTCGATTTCATTTAAAAAGGCCTCCCGTACTGCCTCTATATGAATGTTCTTTATATAATCACTTATATTTTGCACACGCGAAAAAGAGTATGTCCCTCTTGGCATAAAGCGTTTTAATTTTGATTTCACTTCCACTAACTGCCATTTTAAATTATTATAATAAAGTTATATTAATCACAATTAATCTCACACGCATAAACGACGTAGGATGAATACTCGGCGTGCTGTATTACGTAATCAGATCGAGCGCCCGATGCAGTCAAGGCTACGCGTCGTTTGCTAAACCTAATAATTTTATAAAATTGTGGGGTAAGCGTATCAAACGGTTGCTATCACGCCGTTTCAATTATTTAATAAGCTTTAAATTTAACCAAATACGAGCGCTATTAAATGAATAATTCTGTTTGCGAGTAACAAATCAAAATTTTAATTTAAACGAACACTATTTAAGTCTATTCCATAAGTTAGAGTGCGTTATCTAAACAATTAATTTAATAATTCGACCAGAAAATGGTTGGATAACCACTAAACACCAATCCAGATCCTGCCGAAGTGACCATAAAATGGTGGAGCCACGTGTTTAAGGCTGCCGAAAATCTAGTTCCCCGGTCAAACCTCAAACCTATTACGCGAGATATTAACTAAAGTGGACTGTATATGCGATTGCTTCTATGCTTATGTGAAGCGACTACTATAGCATGCGGTACAATGCACTCGCTCTTCCCTAAACTAAACTATTACTTGTCGAATCGATGAAAGGAATCCTGCTTGACTAGGAAAAAAAACACAAATTGGAGCGGGTTAAATTATTAGCAAGCAGGTATAATTAAGGAGTATTGACTCACCGGGGTTTCTTCCTCCTGTCGATCACTATGGCGGCGACTTCCGGAACCTCCTCTGGACAGACACTTCTGGGGCCCCAGTGGTGCGTCAGGAGAGAAGCGTTGGTTCAACGACGACTGCGGCGGGAGAAGAGAGCGCGCGTCGGTCGCGCGTGTCTTATATATCCTCGGGTCCGATGATTACGCGATGTTCTAGAATCGTCTTCTTTCCCCTCCCACCCCACCACCCCGATGTGTCGATAGGAGGGTACGAATGATATTGTTTCGGAAGGGAATAATGATTCGACAAATTCCTACCGTCAAAAATAAAAAACGCGAATGGTTTTCCGCGCAACCAGATACCGATTGCAGTATATTCGTGTCTTCTGATTTCCCCCATAGATTGCATCATAGGGGGGATATTTGCCACAGTTTCCACGCTAGGCAAACGGGATGATATCGGGTAGTGGATATTCTTCCACCACCACTACTCGATGCGATTGGCACCCCTATGAGAATCACTTTCAGCAAGTACTTTGAAGAAAAATGTTTTTCTTCAAAGTACTTGCTGTAAATAGTCGAATATTTTCTTTTGGGTGCCCATTCTTTTCTATTTATTATTTTCAACCATTTTTGTCGAACATCATTATTTTGTGAAAATGTGCCACAGAATCCACTTACCATCAGGTGTACAGTGTGCTCGTGTAACTCTAATTCTGTTTAAAATTATTTATTTTTCATATGATTAGAAGAATATTTAGCTACTGAACCCTAAAAATTACAAAGTTGAATAAAGCTGCATGCAAGGCATAACTTTGCCTATTAAGGACATTTCGATAAGATTATTATTGATTATGTCAATCTTTACAACAGTAAGGTTAAAATTAGCAGATTTTCACCTATTTGGAATTATTTTAAATTCAATAGCTCTGCATTGGGATGATTATTATCATAAAGTGTGATAATTATCCTATCTTTTTGAGTAAAAATTGTTTGTATCTGCTCAAATGCAACAACAGACACATCGCAATAAAAATATCGCGACGAAACTTCGATGTAGGCCGAAGGCGCCTGGCCACTGAATCGTTACGTTAATCGCGATAAACACACGCTAAAGATAAAATGGACGCCGCGGTCGTACTTATTATATGACAGCGAACAATTATTTTTACTAGGTTTTTTGGCAACAGGAGACAGCTTGCATTGCTTCATTCAAAATATCTCATAAATTTATTCATTTTCTAATAAATTCAAGAAATTGTCATTGTTGAAAATATGTGGCAAACTGTAATTTACATCCGCTACGCACGATGTGTGTGGGCAAATTGAAGTGTGACCGCACAAGCGAAGTCCATCGCAATAGAACGCTTTGATATGCGACAGTTTACCGAAAGTGAAGTGATGTGTTTGTACCTTCGCATGAAGTGGCGAAGTATTCACGAAAATGTGGCTACATACATCGCGATTATTCGCGTTATTGCCATGTGGGACCGCGGCACAAGACACACTATCTAGACAACTCAACGTTTTAATCTAAAATATATGTATAATAAATGTATAATGACGTGGGATTTCTTTCTGAGGTGAGTTATATTTAGGTACTATGCATATAGTCATAATTAATTACGTCTATTAAACACTAATTTTCACATTAAAATTTGAAATTTTCAAATACAAGTGCTATTTATTTTGTTCACGAATGACACCAGGCTGATACAGGCCGGTAACATGCACGCGAATGGAGCGAGAACGATAGGCTACATTTTTCTCGCTCTAACATACGCGTACACTATGCTCTTTCTCTTTTGCATGGCCAATCTATTCTAATGTCAGTTTATACCGTAGACAGAGAAACCTATAGATATAGACTAATGATTAGCGTGGCCTCGAGCGAGAAAGGACGATAACGTAGTTTTAGGTTATAATAATCTTTATGACCTTTAAACATATTTAGATAAAAAATTTAATTGTTCTAAGATCTGAACTGAACAAGATTCACCAATCTTAAACTCCTTAGATCGCTACGTACTGTCACAGAACAAAAAAACCGGCACGGAGAAAGGGACAAACAATCACACCGCTCTGTCTCATTTCTATGCAAGACGTATCTTTTTCGTGCGCGAATGCGAAAGAAGGCGTCAATTTGCCTATAGGTTTCTGTCTACGGTTTATACCAGTTTGTGGGTTTATACTAGATCTATGGGATTTTTAACTCTGGCATTAATAACATAGATAAATAAATATGTAGGATTAACTATGCGTTAGCATAGCAACCCACGAATAGAAATGTCATTATCGTAAAAGTACCAAAATAATAAAGGCGAAGAAGGAAATATCATTTAAAAATATGTGAGGAGCAAATATGTTATCATGGTATTTTAAGTTATTATAATAAAATTAACAAGTTAATATGACTCTTAATCTGGAGAGTTGTGACAGCCTTCCACCAGATGAGGAACCAAAGTTGAAATATGATCGAATGGGTAATGACGTTCAAAATATCTTACTCAAGGACGCTGTAAGCTGTATTTGTGTTCATACCAAATTTATTTGTCTCGGCACGCAATGGGGAGTTATACATCTACTGGATCATGAGGGAAATACTGTACCAATATCCCAAGACAATAACCAGAAGGACTTACAAGCGCACGCGATAGCTGTGAATAAGATATCAGTAGATTTGAATGGAGATTACATAGCAAGTTGTTCAGATGATGGAAAGGTGCTGGTGTATGGTTTATACACTGATGATAATACCCACAACATAACCTTAAGCAGAGTTGTTAAGTCAGTGGCTTTGGACCCATACTACTTTAAATCTGGCTCAGGCAGGAGGTTTCTTACTGGTATGATTTATATATTTATTTAACAATGAATGATACGGCATCGTGACTGAAATGGGAGCAAGCTCCTATGTGATAATAATAAGATAATATATGTGTGTTACATACATTAAAGAGTAGTGTTGCGAAATCCATTGCAGCAGGAAATATGTAGAGAGTAAATGGATGCAGATGGCTCAGGTCCTTATGATAATCTATGTAAGAGGGCTATGTTCAGAAGAAGTCTTGTGACGGGCCATAATAAAGATAATGATATTATTTAATAGATACTTTAAATGTAAAAAATAGTCTTAATGCAATGGTTTAGTATAACATTCTATCATATTAGACATGAATTTAAAGGTTGAAGTGTAGTATTATAGAATAATAATGATAGTAAATAGGTTAAATAGAAAAAAAAATTTAAGAATACAAAATAAATATTTTAAAATTAAGACTATATCAATGTATATCATGGTTGCACCTGGTATCACTTCAGCCATTTCAATTTGCCATGCCATCCGACTTATATATAAAATATATAAACACTCACGCCTGTCACCCAGAGGGGTAGGCAGAGACTACGAACTTCCATTTGGCACGATCCTGACATACCTCTTTTGCCTCCTTTACATCCATATATCTACGCATACATGCTCGTCAGTTAAGGGTACTTCTAACGTGGCCCATTTTCAAAATATCGCCAATTTGGTCGATAACCTTTTTTCTAGGGCGTCCCTTCCCGACTCGGCCATTCACATCTGCCATATAAATTTGCTTTGTCACTCTTTCCTCATTCATTCTTTCTACATGCCCAAACCACCGAATCATTCCTTTCTTAATCCTGGTCACAACATCATCTTGCATACCACATTTATCTCTTATCACGCAATTTCTCATCCTGTCATTCAAATTCAACCCTAGTATATTCCTTAAAGACCGCATTTCTACAGCATTTATTCTACTTTCGTGCTTCTTCTGCCACATCCAGCTTTCACTACCATACATTAAAGTAGGGACTAACACAGCATTATGAATTACCATACGTGCCTTTTTTGACACATTCTGGTTCTTCATAATAGAGTGTAGTGCCCCATTCACTCTATTCCCTGTCCCATCCGACTGTTAGTGTGAGGTAATAATAAAGAGTAAACTTGTGTTTGTACACGTACACTATAACCCTGTCCAGTGCAGATGATAAGTATGATGAGACAGGTTGCCATTACATAAATTTGGTTAGGTGGACATTATCAATAATAATTTTAGTACCTATCTTTCACATAAAATCCTTATTTCAAAAATCCTCAGTAAAGTTTGCAAGATTGATAAATATTTAGGCTTATCAATATTTGTATGCGAATAAGCCCTTCTAAGCTTATTTCTAGACTCACAAGACTGGGCCTGGGCTATCATCACAGACAGAACTGAGCCTGATATTGTTTTGATAGACTGGGCACAGTCAAGGATATTTTTGGTTGAAATTACCATTCAGCATGATTAACCCTTCCATCCCCATAAAATTTCCATTCAGTTGCATGTGCCTGGTGAATCCCGAGAAGATTGCATGCGATAGATAGACAATTTCATATTGATTCTATAATGCCAAACTTCTTCATAGAAAAGTAGTCTCTGAACATAGGTATTTATGGGTTAAAGTGCTGTGTGTGCTGTGCGGGTGTGGTCAAATTTGATCTCTTAAATTTTGACGGAATATCGAAGCGGTCAAATTTGGACGGTTGGCGTTTGGGAGGTAAAACCAAATTACTTAGAATGACAAGAACAATCAAAAACAAAATTTCTGTATCTGGCTCAGGATGTAACCGACATGGGGTATGGTCTGCCAATGAAAATTATTCCTGTAGTTGTCTCGGAATATGGTTTGGTTGCTGTTGGCCTCTTGTATCAGATAAGGCAGCTGGGGCTCACTAACAGACCGCTCCAGGCTCAAATGCAAAAGGTTGCTCTCCTCAATACCATGGGCATTAAATTACTAACATATTTAAGTAAATATAGTTTTGTTATTTGGAAAAACACTGTGCTTGTTTCACAATATTTATTTTACACTAATAGTATAAGTGTTTATTAGACCAGAAAACATTAGAAATATCCCTATAACAGTAATAAGACAAGTATATATTATGGTTACGTAGCAATCTGTCCCGGCTTAGTACAGGTTATTTTCGTATCTCAACAACATATGCATGTATTATACATAATATAAACCTTCCTCATGAGTCAACCTGTCTATTGATGAAAACTGCATCAAAATCTGTTCTCTCAAACTCAAACATATCAAAGGTACAAGATAATAACACAAAAAAGATAATTATACCCCGCAAACGTAGAAAATACAGCAATTTAACAAAAACCATTTGGTATTAATTTTGTTATAAATAAGTCCTTCTAACAATATATGTAAAAAAAGTAGTAATATCCCATGAAAAACATAAATGTGAAATGAGAGCCAAGTTCAATATAATGATATATGCCTTGGTTGTTGACTTCAACGACAAAAGAAGTGAGATCTAAATGAGTGCCAAGTTTTGTCAGCCCTTTAATTTATTTATAACAACATAAAATATCGTTTCTTCTTATAACTTAGGATAATATATTGTAGCCTAAGTTTTGACTTGGCTAGTTCTCATATACGAATTATCATGTTCGATGGCTAGTTTTTACTAGCAAGCCAAATTTCGGAATAATAAGATAAGAACCGACAAGTAACAGGTTTAGAACTTGCGAAGGCTATAATATAATTCATATATGAAAACTAGCCAAGTCAGACCTTAGGCTACAATATATTATCCTAAGTTATAAGAAGAAACGATATTTTATGTTGTTATAAATAAATTTCGGGGCTGACCATTGAACTTGGCACCCATTTAGATCTCACTTCTTTTGGTAAGTCAACAACCAAGGCATATATCATAATATTGTACTTGGCTCTCATTTCACATTTATGTTTTTCATGGGATATTACTACTTTTTTTACATATATTGTTAGAAGGACTTATTTATAACAAAATTAATACCAAATGGTTTTTGTTAAATTGCTGTATTTTCTACGTTTGCGGGGTATAATTATCTTTTTTGTGTTATTTTCTTGTACCTTTGATATGTTTGAGTGAATTGCCCATTCAGTATCCGGAATTTTTTTCACGTATTTTCTGTTTATAGTTAATTTGGCCAATTCGGGACGGTATAACGCGCGTAGACGGTTGTACTCTTTTTTTTTTTGTAGAAGAATGAACACGGCTCACCTGATGTTAAGTGACTACCGCCGCCCATGATCAACCGCAACACCAGGGGAATTGCAGGTGCGTTTGCCGGCCCTTTAGAAAGGAGTAAGCTCTTTTCTTGAAGGTCCCCAGGTTGTATCGGTCCGGAAAAATCGCCGGTGGTAAACTATTCCACAGAGAGGTTGTACGCGGAAGGAAACTCCTTTTGAAACGTACAGTGGTGGACCGCCAAGTATCCAGATTGTGTGGATGGTATCGGGACGTTTGCCGTGTAGTGCGTTCACGAAATTTGGCGGCTGGGATTAATCCAAACAATTCCTCAGAGCACTCTCCATGGTATATGCGAAAGAAAATGCACAGAGATGCAACATCTCTTCGCAGTGCCAGTGAATCGAGCCGATCGGAAAGCACTCCGTTGGTCGATTCGAGCTGTTCTGCGCTGGATGCGGTCAAGTGGAAGGAGCTGGTACTGGGGAGCCCCAGCCCAGAGATGGGAACAGTATTGCAATTGCGGCCGAACCTGCGCCTTGTAAAGTTGCAGGCGGTGTGCCGAAATGCTGTCCCGCTCTGCTGAGCACGCCAAGCTTTTTAGAGGCCAATTTGGCCTTCTCTTCCAAGTGACCACGAAACTGCACGTCACTCGGTATGTCGACGCCGAGGATTCCGATACTGGCCGTGGCAACAAGGGGAGTGCCTTGAAACTGAGGAGATACGACAAAGGAGTTCTTTTTAGCGGTTAACGTGCAAACTTGTGTCTTCTGGGGGTTAAACTGGACTAGATTTAGTCGCCCCCAATCCGAGACTCTGTTCAGCAAAGACTCGACTTCAGACACAAGTTTGTCCCGGCACTCGGAGACGTTTTCCCGAGAAATATTGGCTCGGCCGGTGTAAAGAGCATCACCAGTGCTGTCATCTGCATAGCAATGAATGTTAGGGGTTGGCAACATATCATTGATATGCAGAAGAAACAGCGTTGGCAATAGCACGCAGCCTTGAGGAACACCAGCATTAATAGGCTTGCAATCGGAGCTTGCATCGTCTACAACGACCTTGATGCTCCGATCTGCAAGACAGCTGGTGATCCAATCACACAATTTCTCGGGAAGCCCATAGGAAGGGAGCTTCGAAAGAAGCGCTTTTTGCCAAACCCGATCGAAGGCCTTTGCAATGTCCAAACTAATGGCCAATGCCTCCCCCTTGGACTCTACTGCCTCCGCCCACCTGTGAGTTAGGTAGACCAGAAGATCACCAGCTGACCGACCACGGCGAAAACCGTATTGGTGGTCACTAATCAGCTGTGATCCTCTACTCTGCAACTCTACAATAGAGCTCTCTTGTGACTTGGATCTAAATTGATAAGATGTACTCCATCTAAGGTTTTAGCTCTGCAGATTCCAACGTAAGCCTGCCCTCTACTAAATATAGTGGAGCCTATGTCGAGAAGAGCACTGTCCAGGCCATTGAAATATACTTTTTTATTATATCTATGGTCAAGGCTAAGGCCTTGTGATTTGTGGATAGTAATAACATATGCTAAGCAAATAGGGAGTTATTCCATGTGAACATATACATTACTTAATGTCTGAAACGGTGATCGCATGGAATAGGCAGCTTCCATCGGGAGGCATTGGAATAATTCGGTGTAAGGTAAGTGTGTCACCCACCTGTAATTCTATTGTACGACTCATTGTACAATATACGTAATAAAAAGATAATTATGTAAGACGATTACATAACAAATTACCTGTTATGTATTAAATTCTCAATAAATTTTGTTACCATAACAATAAAGTCTCATTCTCACTCATTCAGAGTTAGTTATACATACCTACTTATAAATATACTAAAACTATTATTAATTTTTAAATTTTTGATTTAAACTATTTCCTATACCATCTAGACACGCGGTGCGTACGTACTAAAAGAATTGTAATAATTATATTACAATTCTTTTTATTTAAAAAAATACTTAATTTAATTAAGTATTTTTTAAGAAAACATATTAATTTCGTAGCATAAACAATATAATACATATATAATAGCAGATATCGAGAGACAACCGGACAGCAAAACGGCGCTCGCGTTTATGAGCGCCGCTGCCAGTGCCACCTGCCACTCGCTTGGACCTCGGACACGTTCGCGTCAAGGTTTAATCGCAGCGCTCCCACCCGCTCCTCCGCGCGGCGTATCGCGCGCTGTGTACATGTTCCTAATAGAATCAATTAACTGAAATGGCTCCAAATGGTTCGATACATAAACACGGTGTGGCTCGCCGTACTGCTTGAACTTGGCTTGACACGCTACCGCGTATCTAGATAGAATTATTTTTATTCAATATAGATTAAGATAGGTTATATGTAATACTTATTGAAAGTAATTTTTTACTTTTACAACTGGCTCAGATAAAAACCTCTGTCCTGGGTAGAATCAGAAAGAACCTTTTTTTTAAAGCACAGCTTACAATATATTATTTTATACAATTATTGTGAAAACGTAAAGAAACGGCGACCACCTCATTCCCAGGGGCTATTATCAATCATGTACTCTTTGGTAGTATAATAACCCTTACTAAACTTGTTTTGCTTAAAAATATTTTAAATCTTTTGATAGATAAGGTCTGCATATTTTTTGGGACTTTGTTTTAAAAGAGTATACATTGCCCCATGAAGGATTTGCTGACTCTTTGGAGTTGAGTAACTGTTATAACTAACTTGTGATTGTTCCTAGTATTTACAGCATATACATCACTATTTTTAATTAAATTATTTTGTTTTTGTGAACATACATTAAATTTTACTCTAAGATTTTTTTCGGACCTAGGTTATAAATTTCTCTTATGGCTCTCTACTGCAAAACAAAAATGGTTTTAATGTCAGTTGCATTACCTCATAACAAGATTCCATTTGACATTATGCTATGGAAATAACTAAATAAAGTAATCTAGCTGCTTCAACACATGTAAGGCCTCTTTTTTACAGCATATGCTGGTGAACTAAGTTTGCTAGCTAGCTTTGTTATATGAAGGTCCCATTGAAGCTTCACATGATCTTCATCATCTTCAGCCTGCGGCAGCATTGAAGCTTCACATCAACTGTAATTACGAGAAAAACAGAGGATTAAACACGGCCCAGCTCCTCCCCATTTATAAGTACACTGGTTTTCACCTGTGTGTTTTGTTAAATATTAGGTGTGATGAATTTAATACATTTCGTTTTATTACCGTTTTCCGTTCAGAAGCAAATTTTTGATGATGAAATTTTTGACCAGTGTATTACTTTTGATATAGCATTATTCACTTTGTCTATGATATGTTTGTTAATGATGGAAGCATCAAGTTAAGTAATTTGTCCCCAATATAAAAACGTCTGTTAGTCAATTTGCAGATTGACTACCAGAGAGAAGAAAAGTTCTCAAGTGGCAGCCTCATACCAGTAGGGTGTGTTGGGCGGCCCCTAACTAGATGGTAAGACATGCAGGAAGGCAAGAATGCAGGTGGCTCAGGGCCGTGCTTTGTGGCATACCTTGGAGGAGGCCTATGTTCAGCAGTGGACTTGTGAAGGGCTGTAATGTTGATGATGATGATAATGAAATAGTCTTGTTTATATTCTGGAAAACAGAAAATATTTTCCCAATTTGAGACTAAATTTCAAATATCTTTTGATCTTCATTGATAATAATTATCAAGACCAACAGCCTTTTTAAGTCCACATTGTCTTGAGTCAATGAATAAAACATAACTTGAACACTAAAGCAATTGATCTCGTAACATAATTCATGCTCATTCACTGTTCTATCTTTATTTTCAGGTGACAACAAATTGACCCTTTATGAGAAAACTTTTTTGAATCGTCTTAGAGGTACAGTATTATGTGAGTGTGAGGGCTATGTCCAAGCAATAGCCTGGCAAGAACGATTCGTAGCTTGGGCAAGTGAGGTCGGCGTACGTGTTTACGATCTCGTAGCTCGATGTTCTCTAGGCCTCATTCAGTGGGAAAAAAGCCCGAATAGGTCCATAGAAGACTATCGCTGCAATCTACTGTGGTCTGCCCCCAAGACTCTCATGATTGGGTGGGTTGACACAATCCGGATATGTGTGATACGTAAACGAAACCAAATTGAGTTACAAACTCGAGATGTAACTGAATACTTAGTAGATCCTGTGCATACATTTCAAACAGACTATTTCATAAGTGGCTTAGGACCTCTTGATGACCAACTTGTTTTGCTTGGTGTTCCTAAGGAATGTGATCCAGATACTGGCAAAGCGCAAAGGCCTGTTCTTACTGTGGCAGACTATAAGGATTGTGAATTTTGTGAGGTTTCTACAGACTGTCTGAATATTCGAGGTTATGAAGAATATTCTTGCAATGACTATTATTTAGACATGCTCATAGAAGAAAACCGATTTTTCATTGTATCTCCCAAAGACATTGTAATTGCTAGTCCTTATGATATTGATGACAGAGTCATTTGGCTTACTGAGCATAGTCGATTTGAAAAAGCTATAGCAGTCTTAGAAGAGGTTGGTGGAAAAACTGCAAAACATTCAGTTATAACTGTCGGGGTCCAATATTTGGACCATCTAATGTCTGAACATCTGTATGAGCAAGCAGCAATTTTGTGTGCACGGATATGCAAGAATGATAAAGTCTTATGGGAGAACCAGATTCTAAAATTTGCTGAAGTCAACCAACTTAGAGCTATCAGTGCCTATGTACCTAGAGTTCCTGAACAAGCATTAAGTCCACACATATATGAATTAATTTTCTACGAGTACCTCAAAGTAGATCCACAGGGTTTTCTTAAATTGGTGCAAGAATGGAATCCATCATTGTACAAGACAGGAGTTGTTATAAAAGAAGTTATAGAACATTTATTGACCACAGAAGTTGATAAGAATGTGTATTTAGAAGCACTGGCCTTGCTTTATTGTTATCAAAAGAAATACGATAAAGCTTTAACAGCATACCTTAAACTACAGCATAAGGATGTATTCAAATTAATCACAAAACATGATATGTACAGTGTGATATATGATAAAATCCTTGATCTGATGAACCTTGACTGTGATAGAGCCATATCAATATTACTTGATAAAGTACCAGTAGAACTCATTGATAAGCAACAAGAGAAAACAAAGATACCAGTTGAAGTTGTTGAAAAGCAGTTGGAAAATCATGATTTGTACTTGTTTAAATATTTGGACGCTTACAGTAAAATTGAACCAAATGGCCGGTACCATGGAAAGCTAATTCGGTTATATGCAAAGTATGCAAGAGAAAAATTGTTGCCTTTTTTAAAGTGCAGTGATAACTATCCTATTCAGGAAGCGCTAGATGTTTGTCAGAGCAATGAATTTTATCCGGAAATGGTTTTTCTGTTAAGCCGTATCGGTAATACTAGAGAAGCCTTGCAAATTATAATAGAGAAATTAAATGATATAAACCAAGCAATTAACTTCTGTCAGGAGCACAATGATAAAGAGTTATGGACTGACCTTATTAAGCAGACCGTAGACAACCCTGAGTGCGTAACATTACTACTAAAGCGGATAGGAAACTATGTAGACCCCCGCATGTTAATACAACACATACAGCCTGGTTGTGAAATAAAGGATTTGAAGGACTGTTTGGCTAAAATGATGTGTGATTATCACCTGCAAATGTCAGTTCAAGAGGCGTGTAAAGTTATTACCCTTAGGAACTACTTTGATCTACATGAAAAACTTATCATCGGACAGCAAAGAGGTATATCGGTGACTGATGACTTCTTGTGTCATGTTTGTCAGGGCCGTATCATAATAAGGGACTTGTCTAACGCCTCCAACTTAATAGTTTACAATTGCAGGCATTCATTCCATATAGAATGTTTGCCAGATGGTGTACAGTGCAGTAATTGTTATGTTTGCAGTGCCGTTAAAATGTAATCCGTTTTCTGCTCAATTATTGAACATAGGACTGTGTATGATATTAAATCTAATAATATTTTTCCATGTAAACTTTAATACTGTTGTATAATTAATTAACTTATATAATTCCATGTTTTACCATACTAATTAGTTTATTTATGTAACATTATCAGTGATAACGGTGCTTTGAAATGGAGTAGCTTGTATTATTTTCCTGGTATTAGCTGAAACCTTAAAATATTAAATCATGAAAAACTTTGTCAGACTGCTTTATTTAACTCTGCCACAACAATGACATTAATGGTAAATGCTTGCCATATCTGTTTAGCGCTCAAACTGCAATAGGGGCCTATCGTCAGACAATACCTGCATTTTTTTATTGTACACCTAAGAAATATAATTCATATAGACTTAATACTACTGCATATAGACCGGGACATTCAACAAACAAAATGGCACCAACTCATTGGTGCTAAAATGCTATGGAGCACCTATGCGACCACGACGCGTCCGTGCACTGTTTCCACTTTTAGATATTTTCCACTATTTAAGGGTAAATATACTAATATGGGTAGGGCTTTAGGCGTTTCTTCAAGTTGACAGGGTTTTGGATTATTTGAGGTAAAACCGAACTTCATGTAACCCTGATTTTTATTCCCACCCAATGTATTTTTTAAAGATTTTTCGAAGTTGATAGGGTCAAAAGAGCTAGAAAAGTTTAGAATCAAAAAGTTTTTTTGAATAAATAATAGAATAAAATAATGCTATTTTTTACTTAGTTACATTTTCGTTATTCATATGAAACTAAGTATTATTATAATTTGAAAATAAGAACGTTTTCTTCTTCACAAAACTCAAGATTTTTAGTCATGAAATGATATTCAAATCTTTTATTTTACTTTTTTGATGTTTTTTTAATATATTGAAAATTAGATGCCATAAATAAGGCTATTTTGATTTTCTTACAATAATTTAGGGAGTATTCCTACAGGTTGTAGTGTAAAACAAAAATCATAAGTGAAAACATTGGTTCCGTGGTAATTCATGAGTATTTAAGAGATGTTATTCTATGCTTAAAACGTGAACAATTTTTGTTCGCAGAACCATGTCTTGTTTATACGAGGGTGGATTGAAAAGTACTCGGCCTAACCAAGAAAATAAACACATACTAAATCAGTTATATTTTTATTTTTCTACATAATCACCATCAAGTTCAATACACTTTTGCCACCTCCCCTTCCAAGCATTTAGACCGTTGAAAAAAAAATGATTCTTCCTTAGAGTCAAAATATGCGTCTACAGCTGCTTTGACCTCGTCGTTTGTCGAAAATCTTTGACTTCCCAAGTGCTTTTTTAGGTTAGGGAACAGAAAGAAGTCTGATGGTGCCAGATCAGGTGAATACGGCGGATGCGGTAACAGTTCAAAGCCACAGTTGTGAATTTCAGCCATTGACTGTACTGACTTGTGAACACGGGTGTTATCTTGATGAAACAGGACTTTTCTTCTGAGCATTCCTCGACGTTTTTCTTTTATTTCCTCTCGTAAACGACGTAGTAAGGTTCAGTAGTAATCAGAGTTTATAGTCTGACCCCTTTCAAGATAATCAATCATAATCACACCTTTCGAGTCCCAGAATACTGAAGCCATCACCTTATTTGCCGACAAAATCGACTTAGCCTTTTTAGGGGGTGGTGAACCAGGTCTTCTCCACTGTTTTGATTGTTGTTTTGTTTCCGGTGTACAGTAATGAACCCATGTTTCGTCCATAGTAACAAAACGATTCAAAAAATCATCTGCATCGGCTTCAAATAACTCCAAACAGTCGCGTGAAATAGTCAATCGCGTCCTTTTTTGTTCAACTGAAAGCAGTCGCGGAACCCACCTCGCAGACACCTTGTGGAAACCCAACTCGTTGACAATGATGTTTTGAGTTCATTCATAAGAGATGCCTATAATCTCGGCTATCTCTCTAATTTTTAATCTGCGGTCTCCCATTATTAAATCAAGTACTTTTTTAATATTTTCGTCAGTAGTTGACGTCGAAGGCCTTCCAGAGCGGGGTTCATCTTTCACACTCTCTCTATCACGCTTAAATTCTGCTATCCATTTTTTGACGGATGAATATGACAGAGCACAATCGCCTAATGTACTGACCATGTCATCATGGATGGCTTTTGATGATAGCCCCTTCTTATGGAGGTACTTAATGACGGCACGCTGCTCGATTTGCTCCATTCGCGGAAATTATGTCCGATTACTTTGTTAATAAATTTATAAAATCACAACTAATTATCGCACACGTTTCGAACTTCACACAATGAACTAGTCTGAACTGAACTAAATAATGTGGGTAGATTTGATTTTTAGAATTGAATGGATCTGTGTTAGGCCGAGTACTTTTCAATCCACCCTCGTATCAATGATAATACATGATTTCACATTTCCAGACATTCTTATCTCCCATTATATATCCATCACTCCTATTTCGTCCCATAGGTGTCGTAAGAGGTGACTTTAAGCCGGAAGCCGGGGAACAATATCAAAGATGCGAGGCGTATAGCACTACGATCATCACGATCATCAATCCGCTTACCAAGCGTGACGATTTTACAAAACAACTCCTCCCTACTACTGGATCACGAGACAGGCTCATGTTCAGCAATGAAAGTCTGGACTGAAAAGAAAAAGAGAAATTTTTATATACCTATGAATAAATTGCACTTCAGTTTCGTGTCGTCATAAAATTTAGGATTGAGCTTAGTTACAGCATGTGCGACAGTGGATAGGCTGATGCTCTGCTCCAACTAAATTATAGACCTTGCTTTAATGAAATAGTTAAAAAACAAGCATACGTAAACAAGTTTCAGATTCTCAACATTCTCCGTAAGAAACACGGCAGCATTGAATTTTACGCTTGTATTCTTTGAGAACGCGGTCCTTGCGTGTTCGAGTCGAGCCGACCCGTTCGTGCCTCAACCACCACCTATATAACGCAAATGTGATAAAATAAGCGGAGAAATACATAAATGTCTGTGATATCAAGACATAATCGCCATTATAATTTTCTCCCGTTTCGTACATATATTTCTTACTATGGAAGTTGCACCAGCCTGAGTGCGTTTTGATTAACCCCTTAACGAACATAACGATCGAGCTATGATAAATTAAATCTGATTGCGACTTAAGGTTATTTTAGTTGCCTAAAAATATAAATTAAAATATTTTTTTTATTGGTGGTAAAATTCCCTTTGCCTGGAGTCGAATTTACATCATACGAAGAAATAGTTAAATAAATGTTTTACTACTAATACGAAGAAATAGTTAAAAAAATTTGGAAAGCTATGCAGAGAAGAATACACAAGAAAGTAAGTACTAAAACAACATTAGAACATTCAAGATTGTAAGAGTACAGTGATGTGGGAGGTGAGAAAAATAAAATAAGCATACAAAAGTTAGGTACACGTATATTAAATAGGGTGTAAGGGACAGTCTTCCGAAATATTCAACCATGAACTCAAAACCATCATCCCAAGCAAAGTAATGAAGAAATATTGTCCCGGTAACTATCTTTGTATGGGAAGTCGAAAAAATATTATCGCAAAAAAAATTTTTCGGAAAGCTGTCGCTTACACCCTTTGTATATACCACTTAGAATACATTATGTCGTATAGGATATAAACATATGTCGTAAACACATGTAGGCACAAGTGGCCAAAAAAAAGTGTAGAAAAATGGATGTTCAAATTATGTTGGTGTTTGTTTATGAAAGTTTAGGAAGCAGGGTGTGTTACACACGATGGAACTTCACATTTGCTACCCTTGATCTTGGACCGCTTATCCTTCATCTTAGCGCTGCAATATCAACAATGTTGATCAAAGATCGACATAGTTGATACAATGGTAGATCAACTGCTATGTGCTCTCCAACGTTAGAAAAGCGAATTTCTGGGGCAGTCACATTGATAATTTTCAACTTTTGGTAGGTAATTATCGGAAATCGCAACTTTTTTCTCACGCCGAAATTGACGGCTGCTGAACGCCGTTTCCAAGATGAAAATCCTCCAATTAGCCCTCTTGCTAGGGCAACACGAAACTAAGTTGGTTAGTGTCGCAGAATAAGCACTTGCGCTGTAAAGCAAAAATGCATTTGTGGTGCAGGCATCAAAAAGAAAATAAACTATACGGAAGCCCTCGTTTTTAGTTTTTTTGTCTGTCTGTCTGTGTATTAAAGATTCACGCAAAAACTACTGGACATATCTCCATGAAATTTTGTACGCAGGCAGTTAGTGACCCGGGGCTACTTATAGGCAACTTTTTATCCGATTACGGAACTTAAAAAAGGAGGGTTAATATTTTTATTCCTCTAGAAGTTAATTTTCTATTATGTATGATTATATTAGTTATAAGCGCGATAACGTAGTGTTTTTTTAAACGAATACAATATTTATAATTAAAGTTTAAAATTTGTTTTAACTGTTACTTATGTAATAATTTGAGACTACGCCAACGATCTACATTGTACGTTTACGAAACAGCGCCATCTGTCATAAAAAGTAAAAAGTAGTATATTTAGCCTTCAGTTATCCTTATCAGTTACTTACTAATAAATTAAATAACATAAATAACTCACATTTATATGTTTAAATAATTATATTTATTAAACCTTTTGAAACTTCTAAGATTTGTTTTAAGTGTATCATTCTCTCATTTTAAATAGATAATAGTGAAATCTATGAAAATCAAACCATCTGAGGTTTTTAGTTTAATTAAGTACTAACATATAGGTAATAATGAATTGATTAAACATTGGTTTGCCTGTGATTATTGAAAACTCTCATTACACTCATACTTTATTTAAAGATATTTTTGTATACGTGGTGGCCAGATCGTAAAATTGATTTTATCATGAATATTGGATCGTTACATGAAATTGTGGTATTTCCTGAAATTTAACATTGTCTGTTGACCATTTCGTGATAAGGCTTGATCAAATCGATGAATAAACATTGTTTGAAGA